CAAAAACAGCCATTAGAGGTGGTTCAAATATTATATAAGATTGTGTTTTACAACACAGTGATTTATGCTACATGTTTTTTCAAGAATTGAATAAAGTATAAATCTCCCAATAAAATAAAATAAAATAAAATGAATAAATTCATATATCCACACTTGAGTTGTAAAAAAAAATCAATAATTATCCATGCTAGTATTTTAATTTATATTAATTCATGGTACATCGTGTAATTTCATTTAACCTTAAACCTACCATGTTTGGTAATGCCTCTCCATTGGAATCCATCAAAATCAAAATCCCAAAAGCCCAATGGAGGCCATATTGTATATATATATATTCCCATCCACACCACAATACTACGATGCAAGTCATGAGGATTTCCTTCATCCTTTGTCTTGTGTTGTTTTTGCTTCAGTCTTCCTTTGTTCGTCGTGTAGAACACTGCTATTTTAGCTCAGTAAGCATTTATCCCACTTCCTTACGTGACTCTTTTGTTGCCTGATTCTTCAGGTAAGGCCTGATGTCTTCATTCTCACTTCTTTTTTTTTTCTTTTTTTTTCCCCCTTTTCTTCAGCTTTTTTTCTTCTCGTTGCTTCTTCTTCCACATTAGGAGTTTTTTGTCTGATGTTTTTTAACCAGTTTGAATGCACTATTATTTAAACGATGGTGTTTACACATGTCCTATTTGCCTCTCTATTGATTAAAAAAACATTACTTTACTTTTTTTTCATAATGTGTAATTCACAAAATCATTGCCTCTACATTGTAAATATATATATATATATGCACTTAAAAATTTGATATTCATAGCTGTAGTAAACTTGAAGAACAAGACTTAGTTCTAAAAGCTTTGAATTTCACCTGCTTTGATACCTTTAAAATTGAAACCCCTCTTTGATTTGCTAATAAATATTAAAGATACAAATCTAAAAAAATAGTAAAATAGAAAAATATAAATATATATATATATATATATATATATATAGTTATAGTTCTAGTTATTATTAAGCATTAAGAAATAAGAATAACTTAAACTATGAAAAATATGAATTTTTTTAAGATATTTTTTTTGTTTTATGACACATCAAATGATAATTGTTTTTCTAACTTCTATTTAATTTTCTTTCTATGTTCCTTTGAAACAATGTTATTTACTTGATCTATTTTTTTTTACTCCTATTGACTTCCAAAAACTTGATACTACGAAATTCTTTCACAAATAGCTCAAGCAACCCAAGTAACCTTACATCTATTTAAAAACTACATTCTTTTGATCATTTCTAATGTTTTTAACTTAAAAAATTGGTAATAAAATTTTATAAATTTAAGTGAATTAAATTCAAAACCTTTAAGAAAGAGAGCATTAAGCATTTTGAAATCGTAAATAATTGTTTGATATATTTTTGGCTATATTCAGAATATTATTTTTAATCTCATTTATTAAAAGTCTCTTTAATAAATCAACTTATAAATATAGAATTTCTTAAGAATCATCTTACGTTAAAACCAAAATAATATTTTTTAAAAATATTTTTATTATAAAAATATAAGATAAAAGGATTATTGATAAAATAAATTATACGTAATTTATTTAACCGAATCCTTCTTAAGAGATGAATTCTTATTCTTTAGGTATTTAATAGATTATTAAATACCATGCCATAGTTTTAATTAAGTTATTAGAAATTTAGTAATTAGGACTATAGTAAAAATAATATATATATAATTCAAAAATTATTTTTTATAGATTTTGATGCATAATTTTTAAAACATAAATAAACCGTTTTATTATAGTGGAACCAAATTATTATTTAAAAAATAAAAAATAGAGTATGATAGTTATTTTTAAAACTTTAAAACATTAAAAAATTATCTTGAAGTTTTTAATTAATCAGAGATTCATAATTGTAATTTATTCTCACCTAAAACATACTAAAATATACGACTCTTGTTATATTCTTATAATTGTTATACATTTTGTCCAAATACCATATATATATATATATATATATGATATTTGCCATAATTTAGGATTATAAATTAGTATATATATATTAGTATAACTTTTATATTCTTTTCAAATAACTATATGTATATACACACATACACACATACACACATACATACATACATACATACATATGTATTTATTTAAAATTTAGTCTAAAGTTCTATTTTATTTTTTTAAAGTTCGAATTAATGTTCCTATATTGCCATATAGATTTTTTTTTCTTTCGAATATCTCTAAAAATTAAACTTGAATTTTTATTTATTTTAATATTCAAATAAAATAAAATAAGTATTTTAGTAGAGAATTCCAAAAACTATTTTGATAGCAAGCTAAATTGTTGGATAAATCATTGATTTCTATTGAAAGCTCGTGTCATACTTAAATTATAATACTTTATTTCTAAATAAATCTTAAGTAGCAAGCATAATAGTTTTAACAATTTCTATTTAATACATGCTTATACTACCAGAAAAAATACATTCTAAATTATATTTAGATTACAGATATAATAATATAACACATATATTACATGAATTTTAAATATAATGATAGTTAATATTATACAATAGAATGATAACATATAGTATTTACTATGGTGACATTAGTTGGCAATACAAAAATTCTCATATAACATACTAAATAGTTTCATTGTTTTATATTATGAAGAGATATAGGACCTAATTTTTTTTATTATTTAAAATAAAGTGTAAAATTACAAGTGATTCCAAATACAATATATTAGCTAAGTATAAACATTTATCTATTAGATTTTAATATGGATAATTACATCAAAGAAATATCAACTAGACCAAAATATTATATAGTTTTGTTTTTGTTTTGTTTTGTTTTTGTTGTTGTTGTAAATTTTGTAACACTATGTTCATATGTGATAGTGAGTTTTTTTTATACAGTAAATCTATAAATTAATCTTTTCAAAATTTTGCATTATCAGAAGCAATAATAGCATGAGCAAACACATATTTAAAGTAAGCAGGGCTTGCTTAAGGTAACTAAACTTTGAAACTATTCAAAAACTCATTTATCTTTTTGAGGCAATTATTCAAAACATCCTTTTGATTCAGTCGTTATATTGTATCTGTATTTTCCTTACAGATTGTATATTTTTATTCTTTATACATATATTTTTTCTTTTTTACTACTTTTAGTTTAGAATTAACATTGCCATTAACATTATAGATACACAAAAAAATGTGCTCCAAGAACATTTTAGAATTTTATAAATTTTATCTGGAATCTTCTATAGAAGTTTTTTTATTGTAATATCAAAACAAGGGATATCTTAACTTGTCATTTCAATAAAATAAAATACTAAAAAAAAAAATTACTGAGAAAATCGTATTATTTTAGAATATTCTATAATTCAAGATATTTTTTTCTTCTTTAATATGAAAAGGAAAAAGATGCAACTATAATGATATTATCTAAACTTATGTTAATGTGATTGATATATAAAATGCTTAATAATATCATTAGTAATTTATTTCTATAAAAGGTTAAATTTGTCTATAATCTAAAAATCTTTAAAATTATTTATATACACATACACAAAACATAAATTATATTCTCTTTGTTTATTTGAAATAATCTATTATTAGCATAAAATAATTACTGTTTGTTTTATTTCTTGTCTAATTTCTTCAGTTATATTTGATGAAGACAAATATTGTTTAATTTAGAATTAAAGAAATATCTTTACATGTAATAATTATTATACCATATAAGTGCCAAACTATATTAGATAGATGTGTGTTGTAGATTATATTACTTATGTAGTCTAATTTGATATAGATATATATGTAATAGTCTTTGAAAAGAGGTTCAAAGTGGTTTGCCAGAGTGCCATGGTAGTAGGGCAAGGGAGGGATGGGGATAGGATCCCCTCATGGAAATAGGTGCCCTGCGGTGAAAGAGGAGAATGTCGCCTATCACCGCAGCATGGCGAGGGGGGGGTCTCAGGCAAGACCATGGAGGAGGGACTGGACAGGAGGGGGACGGGCGAGGGAGACAACGTCAACCCCCTCCTCTCCCCACCCCTCCCCTCCCTGCCCTAATGTCCCCGTCCCACTCTCGCTCCCTTTCTCCTCGACCGACCGTTGGGATAATAGTCTCAGGGGTTGGACCCGGCACGTCAGTTCCGGTTTTGGAACTGTCGAGGGGGATTCTCTGCAAGGCCAGTATGCTAGGCAGGCAAAGAGGGAGGGGAGGGGAAAGGAGGCTTTAATGGTTGTTTCTTGTTGTTGCTATTACACTACTACTACTCAATTCCCCTCATTAAATTAGAACCCCATTAAATCCCCTTTGCTGGAAGTTCCTTTGCCCCCATTCAACTCCCTTACCACCATCATTACTGTCCTAATATATTGCTATCCACAGTAATTGTGGTTCTGCCTCACAAGCTCGATGCTTTCATTGGACCACCTCCAACACACTCCTCCATTATTTATTTGTTTCTAAATCATAATTACAAAAAAATACGTTGCTTTCATGCCTTATTGCCCAAATCACATGCTTTGTATTCCGTTTTCATTCTTGTTAAAATGAGGTCAGATATGCTGGAATAACCGAGAGAAAGTCGCAAATGAGTGATTGACTTATGCAAATCATGTATAATGCTTATTCAACCCACATTTTCATTAGATTGTTCTTTTAGAGGATGGCCCCCACTGTAAACGTAGGATTCACCTGAGCAAATAAATAATATTCACAGACATAAATTTCTAAGTACCACACAAGTAGAAGATGGGAGTGAAGAAAGGGCTAATCAGAAAGAACAGCGGCTCCGACAGAAGCAGCAAGGGAACACACAAGAGCCGCACAGGCAGCAGTTGACTGGTTTTGCGAAGTGAAGGGGGGAAGCCAACACGCAGGCAGGCACGTGAATATTCTGGCCTTCAGACTAGGCACACAAAGGGGAGGGACTAGACTAGACTTGGAAAAGAAACAGAAAGCAATGAGAGAGGAAAGTCGAAGAAGAAGAATACGAGCGAGCGACGCCATGTTATGAGATGAGATGAGATGGAGCGCTGCTGGCTGAAGGGGGACTTGGCCGGCAACATTATTCTCCGCCCCCCACAGCCGGCTCGGTCATCGAAGGATAACCATGATTGTCGTCATGGAAACCAGGTTGACGTCTCGCAAATGCTGTGGGCAAAGCATCGAAATCTAGCTCTCTTGCAAAACCGGAAAAATTTACAAATAAACTTGATGGAAACAAGGACCGGAACATGTCAGACGCTGGTGCGTTACTGTTGTGTGCAGGTACGCTGGGTTCTGCTCCGATGATGCAGATCGACTGACCTTTCTCTGCCCTTCTGGTTCCTGCTTCTGAATCAGATTTTAGCCCGCGACTGCGTAGTTTTTGAGCGATCCAATAGACGGGGCAGGTGGGTCGGCCGGTGGTTTGACGCTGGCTTCGTGTGACGACGGAGCTGCTGCTTCCTCGTCATTGTGATGCTTGACAAGTTTGCACTTTCTCTCGTTGGGTTTGCTACTGGAGCCCCCTTCGGTTGTTGTGGTTGTTGTTGTTGTTTTCTTTTTGACGGCGGTTGCGGTGATCGAGTGTGTTGTTGTAGTCGCTGAATAGAGTTGTGAAAAGTGAATGTGCTGCGCTAAAAGAATGCAAACAGTCTCTGCACGGGCATAGTAAGAACTTTGTGGAGGTAATGGATAGTGCGTCCTCAAACATCTCGACTTCGTCATGTCAGTAGCGGTGGGTCGCATGCTATTGCAGAGTTCGTGGAGTGAGGAAGTTGTTGTTGTCGTCTGCCGCAAGGGTTGAAGGAGACGCTACAACGCTCCGGACTTCATTGTAAGTGTCGTTTTTCTTTTCTCTCGAGTCTGATACAGTTGCTCCCAGTTTCTTTGCACCACGCCGTCAATTTTATTACACTTTGGTTTTGGGTCACAACCTTGGGCTTCAGGCAGGGCAGCAGCCGACGACATGATCGCAAACCTTACCGAACTCTTCTATCGTGAGCCGAGGTTTATAGAGCACTGAGTCCAGTACAGTTTAGTTCTTGCAATTTTGTTGATACGGAGTCTTAATTTTCTGCCAGACTACCCATTGTGCCGAGTATGGTTCGGGGATAATTACTCAATTCAACAGAAGTCATAAGTGAAGTGGCAGTGTTCGAGACAGATGTTTCGTAGAAAAGGAAAGTGTCTCTTTGCGTCCGATACTCGGTGAATTCGTTGGAGTGATACGTTATAAATGGCGATAGTTGCAGAGGGCGGTTGTCGGCGAAAGTTCAATCATGGCAGCTCCGGCCGTTGTGGTTGCTGGGCCGCCGTCCATCAAGCAGGAGGACTTGTATCACCCTTCATTGGAGCAGTTGCCGGGTCTCGCCTACTGCATCAACGACAATCCCAATTGGGGTGAGTGCCACTCCCTCGTCCTCTCACTACAGCCCCCGGTTTGTCTTCCACCACTGTGAAAACAATTTCAATTGCCCATTCGTTGAACAGTGCATCCTAAGTTTGCAGCTTGCGACACTTCTCTTGGTGTTAAAACACATAACGACACCTATCCGAAAAACTATCAAGCCATCGCTCGAATAGATATATCCAGAGTGCTCCACTCACGGCTCAGCACCTTGCACCAAGCTGTCGGTGGACAATAACCGTCAAATCTCCAGAGAGGCTGTCCACCGAATGAGCCTGGAGTAGTCCGTCATGAAACCTAAATTTGTTCTGCTTCCTTGATGACGATACACAGGTTTCGAAATTAATCTAGTGCGTTGTATTTTTTGCAGCTTTGTCTATAATTCTAGGATTTCAGCACTATATTACCATGCTTGGCACATCTGTGCTGATTCCACTCACTGTCATACGAGCGATCGGTGGAGAAGCGGTGCAACACGAGTCCTACTCTTTCACTTAGTACATTTTTTTGTGTTTTTTTGCTTATGGGTATTTGTGCATTTTCCATGAAGCGCAACGAGCAGAAACACTTTAAAGTAATCTACCGGAGGTTCAACATCGTAAGTGAAATAAAAATAAGCATTCTGTTTGCCGAAATCCAATTTACGTGCTGTGATTACCGGGACCTGACGTCTATGAACTTTGAATTGTATGCAGGGTGACCTAGCAAGGACAATACAGTCTGTGCTGTTCGTGAATGCGATCAATACTCTGGTGCAAACATACTTTGGTACAAGACTGCCGGTGGTAATGGGAAGCTCTTTCTATTTCTTACCCATGGTATTGTCCATTGTTAGCAGACGTGGCATTGTTGACTATCCCGACCCTCACGAGGTAGGCTCCCACTTCCTTCTGGGTTTCATTATTCCTTTCGCATGATTTGGGTCGTGCTATCTTGAAACCCCGTCTTCACGATGAGCTATGAAGAAGTTGAAATCAATGGTTCTTAGGCAGTGTGTTGTCGCAGAGGTTTCTGAGGGGAATGCGCGCTGCACAAGGGGGTTTCATAGCTGGATCAGCTTTGAATATTATCCTTGGCTTCAGCGGTCTCTGGGGCATTGCATTCAGATACATTAGTCCTATTGTCATTGCCCCAGTAACGATATTGGTGGGATTAGGACTTTTTGAGCATGGATTCCCGGGGGTGAGTGATGTCTACCGCCTTCTTGTAAAGTAATCCCAAGGCTATAACATCGGCATACTTTTCAGTCGTTTCGTTCATGCGATTGACTGTGACAATGAGCTATTGCTCCCTCGTCTTAATTCTAAAAGTTCTTTCTCTAACAGGTAGCCAAGTGTGTTGAGTTTGGCATACCTGCTCTTCTACTCTTTCTTATCTTCTCCCAGGTTCGATCATTTCCCTCTATCTTTGAGGTGCTGCTTTGCAAACCAATGAAATGACGATGATGCTGTGAGGGGCGTCGTTATCTTTTGGCTGTCCTTTTCACAAATTTAGTTGTTCTTGGTCAACTTTTTCAGTACCTGCGGCATTTTCATCTGAGGAACCACAGTTTCTTCGAGCTATACCCCATCCTCATCGGAACAGTCATCGTCTGGGTGTTCGCCAGCATTCTGACTGCTGCAGGCGCTTACGATCATGCCAGCGCGCTTGGACAAAGAAACTGCAGGATTGATCGATCAGGCCTCGTGAGCGGCGCTCCTTGGTATTTTCCATCGCTAACACTGATTCCACAGGATTTATTCACTTCCCATTCCTATTGATTCGCTTCGAAGCAGAGAAATGAAAACCATATGCTTGTCATGTTCCTGGTTTCAGGGCGAGGATACCATATCCTCTGCAGTGGGGTGCCCCTACTTTCGACGCAGGTGATGCTTTCGGAATCATGGCGGCAGCTTTTGCGTCTCTTCTTGAGGTTGGTGCCTAATGCCTCCTCCCCAAGCCATTTCTATGCCGTCAATAGAACGTGTAGGTACATAAATCCTTGGGTACATTTATTTATAAAAAGTTTGCACTGGAATAATTGATGATTGTCTAATTGATCGTGCAGTCCACTGGTGGGTTTTACGCTCTCTCTCGACTTGCTGGTGCAACTCCACCGCCCTCGCATATTGTAAGCAGAGGAATCGGTTGGCAAGGAATCGGGCTCTTGCTGAACGGATTCTGGGGGACTTTCACTGGCACCACCGTAGCACCAGAGAATGTTGGCCTTGTTGGCTTGACCCGAGTGGGAAGCAGGAGGGTGGCCGAGATCTCTGCAGTGTTCATGTTCTTCTTCTCGATCTTTGGTACGTTACACCATTCAATTAATGTTCTGAATCATAAGACCAACTTTGAATTGTCTGCTTAGACTCGTTTGCGAAGCGCTCTGCATTAGCGCTGCACGTCTTGGCTTTGCTTTCATGTGGTACTTCTCACGTTTGCAGGAAAATTCGGTGCCGTGCTTGCGTCGATTCCCCAGCCCATTGTGGCAGCTTATCTTTGCGTCACCTTCGGCATGGTTGGTGAGTGTCAAGTTCCCCAAATGCTCTAATTTGTACCGGAATATAGGAATCGTTGTATTTTTAGTGACAGTGTATATGCAATGTTCATTCAGAACGTTGGTTAATTGTTGGTGAGTGGTTGTGGTGTGCATGGCGCAGTGGGAACTGGAATCTCGATTTTGCAGTTCGCCAACATGAACTTGACTCGCAACATCTTCGTTGTGGGCTTCTCCCTCTTCATGGGATTATCTGTGCGTCAGTACTTCACAGAGTTTTCGATGCGTGCTGGACATGGCCCCGTGCACACAAATTCCCGATGGGTGTGTCACTTTTCGAACAAATCTCACACTCCCCTTCGTTTGCTTTGTCATGCAAGTTTTGCTCTTGGCTAGATCATCAAATTGAAGCTTGATTTGTCTAACATTATTGGTTTCGTGTTCAATATGTACCAGTTCAACGACATCCTCAATGTCTTCTTCTCCTCTTCCGTGATTGTATGCTTCGTAGTGGCGACCGTCCTGGACACTACTCTCACCCGTCACGTGTCCAAGAGGGACAGGGGTATGCTGTGGACTCGCAAGTTCAGGTACTATCGTAACGATCCTCGAAATGAAGAGTTCTACAAGCTGCCAGCAGGCCTGCACAAGTTCTTTCCCCCCTCATAAGGTGGCACCTTCTTCACAACGGAAGGAAAACAGTGCTGTAACTATTCCCAACTACGATGGACCAAGCTCTCCAGCTGTACAATTTCTGCTCTTTTGTTGAGCCAATTTATCATGTGAATCGAAGTGGGCGTGGTCGACTTAGTATCATCAGATGCCTCAATGAAATCTTTGAGGCGATTGAGTTGTGCATGATTAGAGGTTGTGAAATACTGGTGATGATTGATTAGCGTTGGCCGCGGCTGCAAACAGAATAGTCCCATGACTCGAATCAATCTAACGAATTTTGTAGACATATATGACGATATTTTGAAAAACCTAGGCAGGTGAGTAGGGGTAGTAACTGGTGTGGAACTAGGGTGCTACGCCCTGGTGCCGCGCACTTAGCTCTTACGTGGACATTGGATGTGTTCCATTCCCACTCTGGGGAAGCACTCATGATACATTGGTGTGAACATCTGCCTAGGCCATGGAATTTGTGTCTGCTTTATACCCTGATAGCTAACCTTCTGTTAGGCTTCCGTTTTGTATCAATCCAAAAGCTAACTGCTCAGTCCAAAAAAATCGACGGCGGAGCTCACGAGGCGGACGAGCCCAAAACGTATCATTAGCACCTGTATCGAATTGGGCTACAGTTTCTAGAAAGTGAATCGTGCAGATGGGGCGAGAGGAATTGGTACAGATGCCACTGGAAAGTACCCACACGAACGCTGTTGCACCTGGTGGCCCCACACATCAGTCCCATCCAGATCCAGATCCACACCTACAAAATTTCAAACGATTCCAGCCACCGTCATCACGAGGTACACCATCTGCGTGCGGATGGAGCGAGCTTGGCGCTGCTGGGAACCACGCGGTCAGTGGACCCCTTCACCTGTTTCATCTCGCAGTGGCGCAGAAACGGCAACAAGGCGCGCAATTGCGGGCCGAAAAGTTGGATCAATCAGCCGCGGCGTCGGCTGTCTCGGTGACAACGGCGACCCTGCTTGTAACGAAGCGAAGCGTCTTCGCAGAAGTGCCAAGTGCAGGGTTTACAAAACATCGGAGCGACTTCGGCAATGCGGTCTTCAAAACAAACATCGTCGTTGGTGAAGTGGTAGTGTGTCGTCAAAAAGCATTGATCGTCTGGACGTGCGGTCTCGTTCATGAATCGGATCGCGCGACGCTGTCTGGATAACACTGGGATAGATCTACATTTGCCATCTGGATTGTGGATAAATGTGTCTTTGGATGAATAACATCGGTTGGATGAAATATCGGTGCCGCGAGCTCAACCCAATGCACTGGGTTTTGTTCCATATATCATTTTTACTTTTTCTATATATATATATATATATATATATTGAAATTCATGAAAATTAAAAAATGTAACTACTTTGAGGCATCTTAATTTTTCCTTAAATCAACGTTGAAAACTTGATTCTATGTTTATTACATGAGATTAATTTCTTTAATTTTTGTATCATAGTTAAATAACTAATCATAAAAATAAGCTTTGATGTGTCTATTGAAATCCGAGAATTTATTGTTTGAAAATAAAATGATTGAATTCCAATTTTTTAATTGTATGATATATATATATATGCAAATATTACTTATACATTAAATGATATCAGATACTTTTAAGCACTAGCGATTTAAAGTACCATATGAATTGTGCAGTTGGAAGTATTGAAATATTTATTTCTAAAATTTTACATAGAATTATTGATATAAATTTAGATATCTATATCATTTTTCATAAATTTGTTAAATTTTGTTTTTTATCAAAATATATAATTTATAAAATATATATTGAAACTTTATAAAATTTCATTCTGAATTTTTTCTTGTTCTCTTCATAATTAATGTTGATTTTACAATTAATTTTAAGAATAATATTTGATAAGGATTTACTTTTACATTTAAACATACCAAAAAAATTAAATACTATAATTATTATTTTATTTTATTTACGATTATTTAATAAATCATAAAAATAGATTTTACATCTTAAGGTTTTTTTAATAGTATTTACTTGTTTCACAACAATAATAACAGCCATTCTATTATTTCATCTTATTAATTTGTTTTTAGCCTTATATCAATAAAGTTTTTTATTTTAAAAAATAAATTTTAATTTATTGGTTTTTAATAAATTTAAGTATTATATATATATAATAAAATACACGAGTTTAAAAAAAACATATTCTACATAATATTTTATATAACTTTGGTATTAAAAAGTTAGAAATTTCATAAAGCTTCCAATTCTTAATTAATATTTCTTGGTTTCATTCTCTTCAATATAATTTTGGATAGATTTATTTATATAAAATATTGCAATACTAAAGAGAGCCTAAAAATAAATAAAAAATATTTAAAGTTTAAAACTTATTAGTAACAAATAAAAGTATGAATACTGGAAGCATCTTATCTTATTAAAAATATAAATGAAAAAATAACTCTTTACTAACCATATTCTATTTTAATTCATTTATATTTTGGAGTTTAAAAAACATATTTTTATAGTAAAGTAACTATTTAATGAGAATATTGTTATTGTTAAAGGTTTATTGGAATGTGATTTATTTTTTACTTAATTCTAGGATTTCTTTTTTTCATTCAAAAAATAAATATTCTGCATAAAGTTTAAAAAATTACAAAAAATAAGTTTAAATATTCTTAGCTGATTATATTAAAATAAGTATTTATAAATAAAATTAAAATTAAAATTGAATCTTTAATTTTTATTCTTACAAACTATTGTTTGTAAATTTTTGGAAACAAAAGACTTTTATATATTATATGTTATTGCTTATTTGATTACAAGCTTCTAATGAAAAACTCACTACAAATTCACTTCAACTCTAATTTGAACATGTAATAGCTTTTTAGAAAACTAACATAAAGATACACACACTAACAAAGTTTCAAATTTAACTATCCAAACATAAAAATTGATTGATGGAAACTTGAGAGCAATTCAACTATCAACTTAACAATAGGATTTTTTTGATTATTTTTTTTATTATAAAATTAAATATGGTTTGTTACACCATCAAAAAAAAGAAGTAGAAGACTTACCAATTATGTAGAATAACTTTGAAATATTCACTCAAGAAGACCAAGCAAAAAGTTAATTACAATATACTAATTCCACATTCACATACTCAATTAGAAGCACCATCTTCCGAAAAATGTATCCTTTATGTAAGGGTGAAATTTATCCTTCAATTTAAATTATAAGAAAGCCTTAATTTAATACTTTCTTGTAACTGGTGGAATAAAAAGAAACAAGAAAATAACAAGAAAAAAATAACAAACACAAAATAAGTAAAAGGAATGTAATCAAGCAATTACACACTCCAAAACTTTGTCACAATCTATTCTTTTGGTTTTCACATAATAAAAAATAAAAATAAAAAGTTAATTAAATATTTAAATATTTAATTTTATTATCTTTATAATGACATAAGAAGCATATAAACTCAATTAAGAATGAGTAAATTATGAAGACTTAAAAATATAAAGTAAATAATCAATAATTTTGATAAATGAATTTTACCTCTAGGATAACTTGCTTATAGATCATAGATTTGAGCCTCACTAAGGCTCACATGTAATATATAAGAATTTCCTAGAGAGGCCACAAGGCCTTAGTCTTATCTTCTTAACTATATTCAAGGTATTATAACCTATATAGGACCTATGTACCTCTCTTCCTAAAAATACTACACTAGCTAGTGGTTCTCCTATTTTCTACTAGTAGAATTAATGTTTTTATATTTTTGACTTCACCATAGAATTTAAAAATACTCAATTGGTATAGAAATCTTGTATGGCCTTCAAATCTTGTTCCATTTTTTCATAATGACTCCTAAGATAGTAAAATTCATTTTTATCAAAGTCATAAAAATTTCTCTAAATATTTTTAAAATATTATAAAAATTATTATAATATTTTTATAATATTATTATTAACTTAAGATTATATATTCCTATCTCTTTAAATTTTTTTAGTAATAAAATAAATTTAAATAAATTATAAATTCTTTTTTTTATATAAATAATTAAAAAGATATGAGGTTCTTTTTTATGCTTCTTTTATCTATTAATTAATATTAATAGGTTTTTTATAAGTAATGTTTGTAAATAGAAGACTAATATAGACATTGGTCTTAATAAACAATCACTGATATTCAATAATCAGTAGAAATACTAGACCAACTAAGATAACTACCTCTAAGGCTTATTAAGACTCTATTTTATTGATTTTTGTCATCTAATAATACTCTTATGACTTATAATTACTACTTAATTCTAAAAATTACTTAAATAATCTAATAAAATTTCTAAACTTAATATTTTTATTTTAAAATAATATAAAATAATATTTTAAATTAATTTTATGATTGAAATTCATTGGTGGGATTTACATCTTTCATATAGGCAACTTGTACTACAAGAAGCGAGCATATGCAATATGTGGCCAATTTGCAAAACAAGTGGTCAACATATGCAATATATAAACAACTTATTGGCTATTTTTTTAACTTTTCAATTACTTGCAAATACTTGTAAAGTCAAATCATAGTCAATGAAGCTTCTAAGAAGCTATTTTATAAGATACTATCAAATTTATATACTTTTGTTTACTTCTATCTAAATTTTCTTATTCTAAAAATTAATAGTGTCAATATGTTTGTTCATGCTATATAGAATAGGATTTTAAAGATATTTTTTTTAATATGGCTCTTGCAAATTGTAAGAATAAAATATTAAAATATTAAACATAATTATATTAAAATAAAACTATAGTCGTATTATTTAAACTTTAATTTAACTCTCAAAGTATATATATATATATATATATATATATATATATATATATATATATTCAATTGAATTTTCTATGAAATATAATTTTTTTTGAAATAAAACATGAGCAAAAAAGTAATCTATTTTGATTTCACTAATTTGGCACAAAAAATAGTCGTAATTGTTTTGAAAATTTATATTCGAATTAATAGAAATTACATATTATGTATTTAAAAAACTAAAAGAAATCATTATTCACTAATTTTATAAATTTTGTATAGAAAAAAGAATATGGAAGTGGAATACTAATATCTTTTATTAATTATATTTTTGCATGCTTTAATAAAATCTATTTTTTTCTAAAAAAATTATAAAAAATATTTAATAATTTTAATTTTTTTTGTACTAATTTTTAGTTGTTTATTGGAAGATGCATATTTTTAAATTACTTGAAGTAATAAAATTCTAAAATCTTTAGAGAAAATATTTGATTAGACAACATATTAGAATTAATATATAAAACATGGGATTTTAAACATGGTACTTTTGCAAAATCAAATAATTGGAATTCAATACTTGATATTTTAAAGATTAATTAAAGTATCAAATCCAAAATATTACCATACAAATTTTATAATTATCTTCAAGTTTGTAAAGTATTACCTGATATTTTGGTGACATATGAAGTAAT